TGCTCAATGTTATAAATGGCTAATATCCAGAATATGTATACATTCTATGTATATGCCTATATACATATACAGAATAAAATATATAGGCCATTGGGCTATAAAAAGCATGAGGCATGGTATTTGGCATATTGCTCTAAGGGGTAATTGATATATGTGCTGCTAGGGGTTAATTGGGAGTAATCAAATTTACGATTTAATATCATTAATCTATTTCAACTACTCTGAAATGAAAAACTGGCGATAAACTTATGCAAGATATCATATATATGTCAGAAAAGGTGTACTGTGATTTGTGTTACTTGATCCGTGTTCACCACTACTCTCTAATATTAACTCTCATGATTAATCTAGACAATCGAGAACATAAGCAATGTGGCTATCTATGGGGTTCAATTTCCTACTTAAATTCTAAATCATGGCTGATAATTGCTGACTATTTGGTAATTTTAGCGCACAAAAAGTTGAAATTGCACGGAAAGCGCACAAAAAATGTCTAACTTGAAACAAGCCTGGTCAGTGGTGGATCTAGATGGGAGGGGCGATGACTCCCGTTGTAAGCAGTATTTTAATAAGTCAAAAAAGGTCGTCAACCACATTATCACAAATGTTGGCTCCCCCGTCAAAATTTTTGTCCCCCTCCCCTATCAAAATTTAAACATTTACAAATTTTGTCCCCCCCCCTCGTCAAGGTTGTCTAGATCCGCCATTGAGCCTGGTGCAAGTGGTCAGAGATTGAAACGAGAGTTAATAAATGTTGCTCATTTGGAATGGGAAAAATGACGCTATTGACGATCAATGATATACCAATCCCTAACATGAAAATTGAGCAATCTTTCACTCATTTGTGTAAACTTTATGACGCTAAATGTAATGATTCTAAATCAAAAAGTGAGATACAGTCAAAAGTTATTCAATTGTTGAAAACGACTTTAAAATTGAAAGTGGAACCCTGCAGAAATTGCAAATTTTAACAAAATTTATACTCTCACAATTAAGCTTTGAATTTTACAATTACGGATTATCGCAACATAGATATCAGACAACTTGGCTAAATCTACCAATATATGTCAAAGAGGCAATGGTCTTTTTCTAGCTCTGAGGAATATCTAAAAGAGAATAATAATGAAAACTCTCATTTTCAAAGCCAGCGTAATGAATGGTTAAAAAGATGAAAAATTAAAACAATGAAATGTTAAAACGATGAAATCTTAAAACAATGAAATGTCAAAATAATAATGAAATGCCGATAAAAATCATTCTGCTCTTTTCAAAATAGTACAGAGCAGCGAAGTATATTCAAATTTTCACCACAAATTGTTCCTGTCACAATAAATGCCGTATGATAGTCTTATAACAGTCTCTATCAATTCATCAATAAAAGAAACCGGCCACAAAATTTTAACCAATGAAAGATTAAAGTTATTATAAAAACCAATTGGCTATATTTCGAAAGTGTTTATAATTAATGACCAATGTTTGTAATTGTCATTTAAATAGCTAGGCAAATTATCAGAATATTTATTTATCTTGTATTTTCTGAATGATTCTAGGTTGGATTCATGACACCCCTTTAACTCAAAAATCTCCACTGTGTCACCATATAGTATGCCAATGTCGGGTCGTAAGATGTTGAACAGATCCGCTATAGGGTGAACATCGTCAATTTTCAAATCTGCAAATAACCGACAATTGGCAGGCGCACAGGATTTCAACCGGTTGGTGATCGCGGCTAAAATTTTTTATCTTTTGGTGTATCTTGATAGAGCGGTGTTTGAAGTACAGTCAGAAACCACATGCTTATTTGTTTGTCGATAACTACAGAAAGGACATAGAGAGCTTGTCGTTTTGCCCCATCTAATCAAATTAGCGTTTGTTGGCAATTGTTGAACTAAATATTTTTTAGCAAATTTAAAGAGGGCTCCAGCAACATTTTCTGTAGTTTTTGACCAATGAGCACAAAGAACATTAAGACATTTAAAGGCTAGCACTGCAATTAATTTTAAATTAATTCTTTCTCTAACAGGCAACCAATGAAAAGAGTTTATGCTATAAGAGACTGATCAATTATTTTTAATCCAAATATTAACCTAACTGCAGTACTGTGAAACAATTGATTAGATTTAAGCAAATCAATATTAAAAAAGGTAAAAAATTGCAATAATCCAAATGAGTTAAGATAAAAGCTGCAACGAGTTACTGAAATACATCAAAAGACACATATCTCTTAATTAATCTTAAATAAATAAATCATCAATCTTAAATTTGTAAAACAAAAAAAGATTTATTAATTTGAGCCATGTGAAATTTAAAAGACAACTGATTATCTGACATAACACCCAGATACTTAACTACATGACAATTTAATGATAAAACCTAACACGTCTATTTCATTCAAACTAATTTTAAAGTGAAACTTTAGAGCCATCCACATCATTTCAGTTTTATCGGATTAAAAACAAGACGATTAGATTTTATTATATTAACACGAAAAAAATTTCCATTGAAAAATGATACACTTCTACAAAAATGGATAGAATTTGTTAGAAAGGTATTTAGTGTAGTAGTAGTAGTAGTAGTAGTAGTAGTAGTAGTAGTAGTAGTAGTAGTTGTGGTAGTAGTAGTAGTAGTGGTGGTAGTGGTAGTAGAAGTAGATTTTGTTTGCTTTGTTTGATGCTGTGATGATTTGATTTTTCCATTTTAAGTTATTCGAGAAAATCACTCCAAGATCTCTCTCGAATTCAGATTCAGCAAGAAGTATTCCATTTATATACAGTGGAACCTGGTCCGTAGTGCAAAACAGTGCATTTTTCTATGTTGAACCGTAGAAGCGAGTCTCGCATCCATTTAAATGCTTCATTCAAATCAGATTGACGATATTGCTCTCATGATTTTGGTATCATCTGCAAAGAGTTTTGTTGTATTTTTCAGTTTTGTTGGTAAGTAATTGATGTAGAGAATGAAAAGTGGAGGACCAACAACAGAGCCCTGAGGAACACCACTAAAAATTTCAGCCCAGTCAGAAATAATGTCACCTTGAACAATTCTTTGTCTTCTGTTTTTAAGAAACGATTCAATTCATTTATACACCAATCCATTTATTACATATACATTTAATTTACCTAATAATTTTTTGTGTGGAACAGTATCAAATGCCTTGGCAAAATCAAGCAGGACTACATCCACTGGAATAGAATTATCCAAATTATAGGAAATAAAATCAAAAGTTTCAAGTAGATTTGTTGTGCATGATTTGCCCTTAACAAAACCGTGTTGCTGTTTTACTATTATGTTAATCCTTAAAGATGATCTTCTAAACTTTTTCGAATTATACTTTCCATTATTTTACATGGAACTGATGCTAAAAAAAACCTGGCAATGATTTCTTGCTACAGTTTTGTCGCTTTTATGTAGATCGGTGAAACGTCTGCCGATCTGAACTAAAGTGGAAGTTGGCTGGTAGCCAAAGAGGCCTAGAACATCAGAACAATTGGAACAGCAAACGCATCTGCCCACTTTTTTAACAATACTATATGCAGTTTATCAACACCACAAGATTTGTTTTCATCAAGCTGTCTCAATTTATTAAAACAATCTCATAACTGATATCATCTAACATCATATCTATAAATTGTTCAAAATTGCTTTCATTTAAATTAAAAGGCGGAATTTCATTATCGTCTTCAAGTACAAACACATCTTGGTAACTGGCATTTATTAGATTCCCAATTTTAACTAAGTTGTGACTTAGTTTGCCATTTGGTTTTTTTAAAGACTTAATTGACTCTTTGCTGACTATTAAGATATTTGTTAAGAATTTTGGGATTGTCCTTAGCTCGTTCAACTAATGTTTGCTCATAACAAAGACGTGCTTTTTCGATTTCAGATTTTAAATATTTGCAGAAATCTTTATATTCATAAAGTAGATTCTTATTCTACCATTTACAAATGTTATTATATTTTAAGCACTTTTTTCTTCTGATAAGTGATTTTAAATGTGAGTTGATCCATGGAGCTGTTTTATTACGACGTTTTTCTGCATCGACTATGGGTACAAAAATATTGATTACTTCACTTATGTAATAAAGAAATTTGTCATACATTTGTTGTACAGTCATGTTTTCAAATAATTTAGTCCAATCTACAATAAGATATCACTCGAGATATTTTTCTAAAATTTCCTTTATTATATAAAAATGTGTAAATAGACTTTTGTTGAACTGGTCGGACATTTTCTGCAACAAAATGAAAGGAAAAAATGAGATGACCCTGAGTTGTATTACCCGATTACCAAGAACAAAAATAGGATCTACTGAATATACATTTCCTGATTCCGTTGTAAAAATCAAATCCAAAATGTTCTCTGTTACACCATTGGACTTTTGAAATGTTGGTACGTTAACATGTTGATAGAGGAAGTGTCGTTGATTATGTCGCTAAATTTGTGTTCAATGTCAGTGACATTTTTTATTGTTGTGATTGGCCCGTTTAACGGTTAACCATTCTATTGGTGGGAAATTTAAATCTCACATTTTCAGAACATCTTTAAAACTCTTATTGTTTACGTAATACCTAGCTTGTTTGAAGAAAAGTTCAAGATCTATCATATCCATAAAATAAACCGGTCTATAGATGCACCCCACCAAATATCAGAACAAATGACTGCCCATACTTGTTCAATCTTGCTCCTGTTGAAAACAGCATCATTGACTTCTTAAGAGTTGACAGATGAATTGATAAACAGACACACTCCGCCACCACTATGTTCATCATTTCTATCTTTTCTGTATACATTAAAGTTTTTTATATTAACAATTGAGCTATCTTTAAGCTATGTTTCACTCACAACAATAACCGATGGATTATACGTCTCAACAACAACTCTGAATTCATTCAGTTTATTATCTTGAGAAGTAGCCTTTAAATGCATACAGTGTCTGCTTATAAAACCTGCTCTATCATAAGTTGAATTTAAATTAAAGAAGTTTCCTGAATTTCGGCACCTAATTTCCACGGATGCCATATCGAAAGGGCGAGTTTGCACCGAGTTCTGCATTCAGTCTGTTTCGTTCCTGTCTAAATTTATAATCCAGTTGTCTTTCAGCTTCTGTCAAATCTGGACTAATGTAAACAGATTTGAATTTGTCAAATTCTCTAAATTTTTTAGCTGCCAAGAGGACGGGATTCCTGATAGCAGCATCAGACAAATCAACCAATAATGGCCCAGGTTTTGTTGAGTCTTTTGATCTCAATCTTTTTGAGTATGCTACTGAAATGTCAACAGTGATAGTCTTTAGTCTTGAAATATCTCTCTAATTTTGGTTTCATCATGTGCTTTTTTAACTGTCATATTTGAAGCAGATGATTCTTGTACTCAGTAGATAACAACATTTTTCTTCCCTTTTCTCTCCTGCATCTCACCAATGATGGTATTGGCCACTACTAACTGATCTACAGGCTTTTTTACGCTTTTTGCCCATCTGGTGACCACATCAACCCATTCAGTACTGATACAAGGTTTTGTTACCTTTTTGCCGATTCGAGGTCCGTCGTCAATCTTTCTATTTCTAATAAATTCTTCTCATCTCTTGCCTCCAACTGTTTCACTCGGTCGGTTAGCGAAGAAAGCAGTTGCGACATCTTTCCGCAACATTCGTGCAATCTTTAGGCTGATTCACCAGCTGTATTGCCCATCTTCGGCCAGTTCTCTTCTCTCAAAATGTCCAGATCCATGTCAGAAATTGAGAACCAAATTTAAAGAAAAATTCGATCTGAACAAAGCCACGTGTTAGAACCATGTGTCAACTAAACTTAAGAATAACTAAATTATCATCAAACTATCAATAATTCAGAAATTTTTACTACAAATTATATATTGTAATCCTGAAATTTGAAGCAAACAGTACAGTCAACTTTAAAACAAAAAATTAGTATTTTGAATAGAATTTTACGTTAAATCTACACGCCAAAATTAAAATCTATTATCGTTTGTGTGATGTGAAACTGTGAATAGGTTACCTAACAGCAATAAAAGAATTTGCAATAATCATTTTTGTGACAAAGATTTTAAACCAAAATCAAAAAAGGAAAATAGAAATGTTTTAATAGGTAATGCAATACATTGCTTTGAAGTCATGAATTTTTTATTATTTACAAATATATAGAATTTATTTGAATTGTCACAGATATGTAAAACAATGTCATGTTAGAAACTGCTCTTAATATGAATGAATAATAAAATTTTTGTAAATATCATCATTATTACAAACTTGATAATATGAACAAATGATTTAAATTTTCTTAGAAAAGTGTTGTTGAAACTAAGACTTTACCAAATCTTCAGGATCACAAGTGTTTACTTTTGTTATTTAAAAAATTTTAATTGGAATTATCATAGCAATTATAAATTTCGGTTGATTCATAATGTCATGCATCTTCAGAGCAACTTTGAATTGGAAGTTTTATAAATTTTAGGACCTTAAACGCTTGTCATGGCACTTTATGAATATTTATCTACATTTTCATTATTGTTGGCCAAGATTTACCCAGAATATTGTGCTATATACCTGGACAAACCACTGCTAGTGTTTGCCAGCATTTGCCTCTAAACATTGATGATGATGATCTTTATTATTATTATTACCATCGTTAATATAAGATTGGTTGTCTTGAAGTATTTATTGTATAATTACATGAATTCTATTTTTTCCTTAAAAATTTTATTTTTTTGAAGTATTACATGTTTTCAATGTTTATAATATTTACTTAAATTTCAGAATTTAATAATTAAGCCGTCATCAGTCTTGATGAAACTGTCATTAAAACGTAAAGTTATATGTTATAAAATTACTACTATTATTTTATGTATAAATTTATCATCAAAATCAATAATTATATATATATCTTTTTAATATAATGAATCTATATAATTACATATAAATTTTTTATAACATTTAAACCTATTTATTAGAGTATAGTTATTAAATGATTATATTGATCTTTTAGATATTTTTGGTTTCTTAGATTTCAAACAAAATTGACATTGATACATCATACAAAACCAGTGAAGTTGAATGTGGACATTCATCATTATTGATAGGCACTTTTAAATTATTATTAAATTTAATGATTTTTATTAAAAATAATGAATTGCATTGAAATAGGAGAATAGTATGGTGACTACCAAAAAGCAAAAGTTTGACGGTGATATGTTATTCAGTTATCAGAAAAGAATGGCATTAGTAAGTTTTTGCTTTTTATAATGTGTTTCAAACATATTTATTAAATCAATTTTGTTATAATTTCAGGATCATAGATAGGTACAACTTAACGCCTAATAAACTTGCTGCAAAGTATGTATTGAAAAGTAAAACATCAACAGAAGTAAAAAAGTAAGAAAATTTAATGTGGCCTATTAACAAAAGCTTATTATGACATAAGATTTATGCATGTGTGCAGATGACAAATGAACATAACAGAATAGGTCTACGACTGACATTGAACAGATTTATAATTTTTAAGAGCTAGAATAGATTGGTAGCTCTAAGCTTACATTTTTCTTTTTTTATATTTAGTGTGATTTTTTATTATTTTATTTATTTAATCTTAAATGTATTCATCTCATTAGTTTCATGTCAAATCATATTTCTAACTTATTTCACTCCTGTCTAATATGTTCTCATATTCTTGCAAATGAAGCGATGAAACCTGCGAAACTCCAAAGACATCTTAAAACTAATCATACTGACTGCTCGAAGAAACCATTGGAATAGTTTTTGCGCATTCACTTGATAATCAAAACCTTGCATTGAGCATGCAACTAAAGTCAATGAGAAGGCTTTAAAAGCATAATTTTTAGTGGCAATTCAAGATGCACAGGCCAAAAAGCCTCACACAATAGCAAAAACTCTGATAATGCCTGCTGCTATAGATATGTGGCTAGAGATGTATGGTGAAGCTTGAAATCTATAATCTGAAAACTATTCCAATTCCAAATGATACAATTCAACACTGTATAACTTTGGTAACAGCTGAAGTAGAAGAACAGTTGATTTCAAGGCTGCAAGATTGTATTGGACAAATCGACGGATGTTTTCAGCCAGGCACAATTGATAGCTTATATCAGATAAGCTATCTGCGACTAGAAGACTTGCGAGCGTGCGGAAAGGCCGATCCGTACGCCCGGCAAGAAGGGCGAAACATCTCTTTTGCCCGGCCCGTATATTCCGACCCTGAGGTCGGTAGAAGATATTGTAGACCGACGAGTCCGGGCCAAGGGAACGATCGCCTGAGTGAGGCAGGTTAGGGTGTGCGGTATCGAGCGACAGGTGACGTGTGCGATCGCCACGGTGCTGATGACTGACACCGACTCTAGCGTGTCGACGATCGCCGACGCAGCGAAGATAGCGGCGGCGACGAGTTCATCGACGGAAGTGGCGGTAGGGGAGAACACCGCGGCATCCTTCACGGTGTCGACGAAAACTCTACAGCAGCCAATAGCATCAACTGGTCCTGGTGTATTGGAGTGTGCACGGATGGTGCTGCAGCAATGACTGGAAAACGAACAGGCTTGTGGGAACGCGTGCGTTCTAATGTGCCAACTGCTACATTTACGCATTGTATGATTCATCGTGAAAGTTTTGCGGGCAAAGGAATGAATGCGGACTATTTTTGATCAGGCCATAAAATTTGTTAATTTCATCAAGGCTCATCCACTAAATTCTCGTCTCTTTGCTTCATTATGTTTGAATATTGATTTTGATCATGAACAGTTATACTGATGCACACTGATGTTCGATGGTTATCCAGGAGAAAAGTGTTTAACAGACTGTTTGAATTACGTGATGCTGTGAGAGTTTCTTGGAAAAAAAATCACAGCTCGTTGTTTATTTGAATGACAATTTATGGGTTGCTGCTCTGGCTTACTTGGCTGACATTTTTGAACAGCTAAATAAACTGAATTCATCTCTGCAAGGGAAGCAAACAAACTTAATTACACTCAGTGATAAAGTGTCAGCTTTTACGAAAAAACTTGATATGTGGAAGACAAGATTACTTCAGGGTAACTTTGACATGTTTGATCAATTGCCTGAATTCACAGAGAAACAAAAAAATACTGAAATCAACAAGCACAAGTTGGTGAATTTAATATCTGAATATATATGCAGTCACTGCTGGATCAATTTAACTTCTACTTTGGTGATTTGAACGTTGAGAGTTTTTCATGGGTTTCCGGTACGTTTCTTGCACACATTGATGCATTAAATTTACCTACATCGAAATTAAACCAATTCATTGAACTGACCAGTGAAACTACAATGAAGATGTTGAATCCGAAAGTGAGCCTGATGAAAATTTGGACACTAGCTTCACATGAGTATCCAGAACTGTCTCAGAAAGCTTTCAAAATAATTTTATCCTTTGCGACATCATATCTTTGTGAATGTGGATTTTTTGCACTGGTTACAAATAAAACAAAATATCGTTTACGGCTTGAAGTCGAAGATGAACTCCGATTGAGTCTTTCGAGCATTACCCCTTGTTTGGATAAGCTATGCTCAACTGTGCAACCTCAAGGGTCACACTAACGTAGATTAAAGATTGGCAACTAATACTAAAAAAATAAATAAGTTTTATTTATTGACAGGTTTATACAATTTGTTTAATAAAAGATTTAATAGAAAAATAATTTCAAATATATTTCTATCATTGTGAAATGCACTAAAATGTTTAAAAATAACATTTTGTTACATTGTCCTTAATACGTACACCCACGTCCATCTGCTAACTGGTTAAACTAATGCCTAAAATTTTTTCGTTGAAATGTTAAATTCTTTGGTGTTCATTTTAATTTTCGAATTGAACAAAGTTACTAGCTATAATATCAAAGCAATTGAACTAATCATATAATACAAATAAGTTTGAGTCGTTCAAAATCATAAACGGAAGATTGAAACAACACAAAACAGTCTAATATTTTTAGAGTTTTCCAACCAGTATCGCATTAAGTTTATTTATTTTATAAACCGTGAAGAAAACGATTCAAATAAGAAAAACATTTTATTACTGTAATAAATGAACGCAAAAAACCAGAAAAGGCAAAAACATAAAAAATGATAAGTTTAATTAAGGCAATAAAAGGCAGCAAAACATACTGAATAGTATAAAATTGGTGACAACAATAATGATTTGAAGTTTATAAGTATTAAGCCAGGCCTGTAAAAATATGATAAAAATCAATAACAAACAAGTTTAGAAATATTTATTTTTAATTTATTTATATGCTATGGCGGCGTGGTGGCTCAATGGTTAAAGGTATTGCAATGACTGGGTTCGAATATAAAGAGATTCCCGCTTATCATATGCAATGTGTAAGATGCTTGGTTTGCACGCGTATTCATATACGCTGTGTGTGTTTGTCGTTAAAACCTCTGAATCAAACGCAAAGTAGAGAAAGTAACTTTTAACCTTCATTTATTATTTCTTTACCATATTTATCAATTGTTAGGTGCACAACACTTGCAGAATTGGCTTACATTATAATATGCAAAAATTTAAAAAGTGTATCCAGTTTGGATCAGTTAAAATAATAAAATTTGTTATTACTTTTGATAAAAAAATAAAAAAATTTTTACAGAAAAGCTAAAAAAAAGTTTGTACCAAAAAATAAAATAATTGATATTTCCCAAATTGCAAATTGTCGGAGAACAAAATTTTTCTTTAAATATTGAAAAAAACAATTACACGTTTTTAAGTCAAAGAAAATTGAAATTTTGTTAAGACTTGTTGAAATGTACAGCGCTTTTTTACTACATTTTTAAAGCTTTTTCTTAAACCAACTTTATATATATATATATATATATATATATATATATATATATATTAAATTAATGTCGGTTGAACTGAGTAAAGTCTGGATTAGCAATGACCTGACACCTGAGCAAAGAAGTGAATTAAAGAAACTGGTACCTGATGCTAAATCGAAAAAAAATCAAAGACAATTTTTTATACAGAGTCAGAGGTCCTGTGGGAAGATGGCGGATTGTGAAGTTCAGAAATTAACTGATGAGGGTGTTGTTGACAGGAGGGCCAGTCGGAGGATGATTCATGTTACAGCTCAAAAATTAACCATGAAAAATTACAATAATTTAAAAATTGGCCTGGGGCTCTTCAACATAAGATCTATAATGTCAAAGTATGAAATGGTGTGTGATATAATTCGTTATAATCCAATTATAATGTGATATAATTGGATATTCTCGTATTAACCGAAACATGGCAAGGGTCGTCAGATGAGTTTGCTGTTCGATGCGCGGTGCCCCCTGGTTATAAGTTTGTATATTACGTTAGATCTCACGATCTATATCATGGCTGCTGTTTATTTCAAGAAAGAAATCATTTATAAACCAGTTGAATAACCCGCCGTGATAACTTTTGAAGCTGTTGCAATTAAATTGAGAGTTAACAAATCTGATTTTATTTTGTTATCAATTTATAGACCTGGATCGGTTCCTCCTTCACCATCGTTCTTTTCAGAGCCAGCGAATATTTTAGAAGTTTTATCGCTGTTAAGTGATAAAATCGTTGTTGCGGGAGATTTTAATGTTCATATGGAGAGGAAAGATGATCTAAACACAGTCTCATTGAATGATGTTTTTGATTGTTTTCAGTTGGTTAACACAATTAACGAACCAACGCATGAATTAGGTGGTGTTTTGGACTTGATCGTTACTTCTCGCTCTTTTTTTATTTTTAAGAGTTTGATTTTTCCCAGTGGAGTCTTATCAGATCATGGATTAATCCACGTTTGTTTGTCAATCAATTGAGTTATAGGTACGAGAAGTAAAAAAATGGTTCGATCCTGGCGACGCATAAATGAAGAAAATCTCGCATTGTTAATTTCGGAATCCCTGGTTGGAGGGCTATGCCAAGATTATAATATAGAAACGCTGAGATTTTTGTGAATAAACTGAAGAGAATTGCAGACATAATAGCTCCAGAACACGTGGTTGAAAGTCGAGATGATTTGTTGACGCCGTGGTTTGATGGAGATTGTTCTAAGTCCAAGGCATACTGTAGAAAAACGGAAAGGAAGTACGGAAAGACTTTAAATCATCATGATAAGGAGGTGTGGAAAAATGCTCTGTGATCAAAAAATATTTTATTCGCCCAGAAAAAAAATTTGTTTTGGAAAAAAAATCATTTTTGAAAATAACAGAAATCCTAAAAAAGTTTGGACTGTGGTAAATAAACTGTTGTGCAAAGGAAAAAACTTCAAATTCATCTACCAATTTTGAAGCGAACGATATTGCTATACATTCTTTTATGACAAAATTAAAAATGTACGAGAATCGATGAGGTATGATGAGAAGTTTAATCATTCATCTGGTGTCTGCTGCAGTAACTTGTTTTCAGTTTTTCCTGTTTATGACGAAAGCGAACTTGTTGAAACAGTTTTGAACTCTCCATCTAAAACATGTTCACTGGATTGTGTTCCTTCACACTTTTTCAAAATATATGCAGGATTGTTTTCAAAATATTTGACTGATTTTATAAACTTATGTTTACGTACTGGTGAGTTTCCGGCTATGTTAAAGCATGCTACAATTTCTCCTCTTTTGAAAAAGGAAAAATTAGACAATTTTGATCTTAATTATTATAGACCTGTTTCAAATCTGTCGTTTTTGTCAAAATTAATTGAAAGATTAGTTTTTAAGGAGCTTATGAAACACTTAGATAAAAACAATTTGTTACCGGTATATCAGTCTGGTTATAGAAGACATCATTCTACCGAAACTGCTTTGTTGCATGTGTTATCTAAGTGATCTAAGTATCTAAGTTGCATGAAACAGCAAACCATCTCTTTTTAGATTCTTAGATATGAGTTCGGCATTTGACTGTGTCGACCATTGCATTCTTCTAAAACGTCTTAATCATAGATTTGGAATAACTGGTTCTGTCGAACAATGATTTCGGTCGTACTTAACAGACAGAACTCAGCAGGTAATCTACAAGAATAAGACCTCTTCGGTTCAAACGATAAGATTTGGTGTTCCACAGGGCTCGGTTCTCGGACCGATCATGTTTATTCTTTACACCTGTGAAATTATTGAGGCAATCAGATTACATGGTTTGAAGTGTCATGCATATGCAGATGATATTCAGCTATTTGCCACAGAATCATATTGCAACTTTCATCTTACAGTTGACAGTTTTGTTAAATGTTTGGTCGAGATCGAGAAATGGATGGCAAATCGTTTTAAGCTCAATCAAAGCAAGACGCAAATTATTTTGGATGGAACTTGTCAACAACTGTCTAGAATTAAAATAATTCAGTTATCATCGAGGGCTCAAATACAAACTTCATTCCCAAAGCTACAAACTTGGGTGTCATTATTGATTCTAAGCTGGCAATGACTGAACATATCAAGTTTTTATCTGGAACTGCACCCTACAACTGCGAAAATTAAAAATAATCCGCAAAAGCTTAAGCAAAGATGTTATTCAAAGTTTAGTGCATTCGTTTATTCATTCTAGACTGGATTACTTACTGCAACAGCCTAATTTATGGTTTGCCTGAAAAATCGTTATCTGTGCTTCAGTTAATTCAGAATTGGGCAGCTAAGATCGTGGTTGGGGCAAAAAAGTTTGACCATGTTACACCGATATTCAGAGAACTGCACTGGTTGATGGTCAAAAAAAGAATTTTGTTCAAAATATCAACAATCATGTTCAAATGTATGAAGGGAATGGCGCCAGTTTATTTGAAAAAAATGCATGCACCGAAACAACTGTCTTTTAAAACTGTCTGCTTAAGGTCTGGTGATAGCAACTTGTTATGTGTGTCCCAACCAACTTAAAAATGGCAGAGAGAAGTTTCTCAGTATGTGGACCAGCCGTTTGGAATAGTCTAACAAGTTATCTAAGACAGCCCGAACTGACAGAAAAATCATTCAAGAAATTATTGAAATCATTTTTGTTTTCATTATAAGATTTGGTTTATCGTAGCAATTCAACTGTTTTTTTAGACAGTGCTTTTGAGAAACATTTTGTTTATAATTAGCGCTATACAAATTTTTGAATTATATATATATATATATATATATATATATATATATATATATATATATATATATATATATATATATATATATATGT